GAGAAAGCCTCGAACACATGAGCATAGGGGAAAAGTTCCTGAACAGAACACCAATGGCTTATGTCATTTTCATGTCTGAAGGTGTTTGGAACAATGGATTGTTGCTCTATATCCTATTCAAATTATCAGATGGAGGTTCAGGGTTTAAGAGTTAGGAGCTATCTTAAGTGTCATGACAAATACCATCGGAGTTGTGATACTTTTAAAATTTACAATGATAGTCATTATAATTAGAAAAAAGTTTAAAGACACTTGTAAGGTATTTGGCATAATTCTAACACCTCTCTGGATGTTTTAACTCTACAAAGTGAGATTATAAATTTAAAGAATGCTGCTCTGTTGAGCTTTGATGCTGCAGATAATGCTGATAAAATTATCCATGGCTTGAGGTTAGTATTTCCATTTTGATCAAACCTCAGGAATGGCATATATAGCTTTATTATGCTACCCCTTTTTGTCCTGGGAATACTTTTATTCCTGCCTATCATGTTAAAGCTTGTCTCTAACTACATCAACATGTTGGCAGCCAAAGTATATGACTTGAACCTGAAAATGGACCCCCAGACAGAGTTACTAATTTAACAGGCTGGCAAGCCAAGGATGGGTAAGATTCTGTACAGAGCCTTACCAACCTGAGACAGAGCATTGCTTTTGACAATGCATATTCCATAATGGGTAAGGAAGGCATTCTTGGCAGAACAACCTAAGACTGGCTCAGTCTTGTTTATGAAATAAAAAAAAAGGGGGAGAGGTGGAGAGCTTTTGGGGCTCCTTGGCAAGAATCTGACATGGGCCAAGGCCAAGGAAATGGGCTGCTTGGCAGGAATATGACATTGGCCAAGAACAAGGAAGTGGGCTTTAAGCAGAAATCTGACATTGGTCTAGAAAAAAGAAGTAATTTCAGGCAGAAATCTAAATCTTAGGCTGCCTGGGATTCTTTAAGTGAAATTTTACAAACAACTGAGAGATATCAGAGTAGAGCCTCATGACTGTCGTCTAAGGAGGATAGAACCTAGGTAGGAGGATGCAGTTCCAAGCCAGTCAGAGCTACTTATATAGTTTTATATCAGCCTAGGCTAAATATGGAGGTCCTCCCTCACATTAATTAACACCATAGTTGGTTTAGTTAATTAGTAAGTTAGTTAGTTAGTTAATTTAAAAGATTGGACTTGTATGAAAACATAGCCACCATTTTCCTATTTTATTTCAAAGTTGTAAATAGAAGTCGCTACTGCTCTAATGAGATTGTGTAGCTATGAAAAGTGAACAGCCAATTGCTATTGATCTCAAAGGCAATGAACAAGCTGCCCCTCTTACAGAGGCTTCATCTAGACCCTCATGCACCAATCTGGGGCTAATAGTGCCCATTTGCCTCTTGGCTATCTGGTGTTGGAGCACCAGATTTAGTGCTGATTCTGGGAAAGTTCACTTGAAGCAACAAGTAACACCATTTGCTTGTAAAATCAAAGAAAGCTGCCAAAAACGAAAAAAAGAAAAGAGAGAACAGGAAGTAAAGGAGAGTCAAAGAAAAGAGTGCCTCTTGGGAGATGAAATGAGGAAACAAGTCTGAATGGAAGAAAGCAAAGCTGGCTGTAAGTAACCGTTTTGTAAAAGTTGCACGAATTGTAGAGTAGTGGCACATTGTAGGCTCAGACTAAGGATAATGGGCTTCCATGTGAATTCTCCTCATTACTTCTCTTGAAATAGCAGTAAATCTACTGAAAGAGTAATTTAGGTTTACTGTTCACAGTCCATTCGCTTTGCTTATAAGTTTCCCTATTTAGGATTTGAAAAATATGATGCAGGTATAATCCAAAAAGAAAGAGATCAGCCCCAAATGAGCCATTTTCAACTTCTCAAATAAGCATGGCATCCAGGTCTGTGCACAGACCTGCAGACATTTTGAGCCAGTAAATAATGATGGAGCCTATTCTTAGGAGCTGCACACAGACAGCAGAGGAGAGCTGATTACTGCCATGACCCTGAATCATATGCATGTTTTTATGGACTCTAAATACTCTTGTCATCGTTCCATCAATGCTCACTTCCAATTCAATTCAAAAGAAAGTAAAAGGGTTGAAAACTTTCCCAAGATTTAAGAAAATAAATATTTGGGAGGAAAATATCTATAAAATGAAATGTTAATTATTTAATTACAGGAGTATACTGCTACGAATTTACTTTTCAAAACTGTAAGTCTAACTTTTTCTGTTTTTAAACTGCTACCTAAAAACTGAGGTAACCACCACATCTGTCATTCCAGCAGTTGGGTAGCTGGGAAAGGAGAGTTGTGGGTTTGATACTAGCCTGGACTCCTTACTGAGAACCTTGTCTCAAAACTAAAATAAACATACAGAGGGTAGATAGATAGATAGATAGATAGATAGATAGATAGAT